TTTCTTCCTTTCTTTGTAGTTTCTTTATTTTATTTTTCTTTTTATTTTTATAATAAAATTTTTAATTTTTAAATCTAGTTATAAAAAAATATGTAATAAATTGTCTAATGAAATTGGCTAATTGTTAATAAAATTATAAGTCTTTGTTTATTGAGTTTCGATAATAATTTGTGGTTCTCATCTTTGTCGTTCGTGATATTTTTCAAGTCTATCACTATTATAATACTGCTTTAATATTTGTTCTTTGTCAGTTTGTAGTTTATATGCACCATTTCCAAGTTTGGCATATATTATATAAGGTCTTTTTTTCTTTTTCTCAAATTTAACAAACATGAGGTAGTATTTCTTTATATTGAATCCAAACTTTATCTCTAACTTCAAATTCTACTAATGTTATTCAAGCATCATGTCTTTTTTTTTGTTTTCATTATGATGCTATTGTATTCTTTCTAGCTTGATTTTAGCTTTCTTCTAACTGGTCTATTAGCTTATAAGCTCTAGTTAAAATAATATTTTTAAGGTTTATTTCTGGTTCTGGTTCTGAAGTTGGTAAAATTAGTTTAATTAGTAAAGTAGCTTGTCTTTCATAAACTAACTAAAATAAAGTATATTCTGTAGTTGCATACTTTTTAGTTTAGTATGCAAATAGTACAGAGAATAAGTAGATATCCCAATCCTTGCTTTTGCAAATAATTCACATAATGTTCTATTTAGTCATTCAACCATTTCATTAGTTTGTGAGTAATATGATAATGAGAATTTGTATCAGATTAAAAACTTTTCATATAAAATTCTAATTATATTACTTCTAAAATTTGGTCCTTGATCTGAAAGAATAATCTTAGATATTCTATATCTACAAACTATTTTGATGAATATAAATTAAGCAAGTGTAGCAGTACTAGCATCTGGTATAGCTTGTGCTTCTGGCCATCATGTTAGATAATCTGTAGTAACGATTATATAGCAATTTTTCTAGTCAGTAATAGGTAATAGTTCTACCAGTTTATTTCAATATGTTTAAAGGCTTGTCCGATCTTTATAGAATATAAAGGTTTTTTGCTTCATAACTTGCTTTGTTTTTGGCAAACTTTACAAGTTTTTACATATTTCTTAATTTCTCTATATATTCTATCCCAATAGTATCTTTTCAAAATTTTATAATATATAGCATCAATTTCTAAATATTCTGCAGTAGAATAACTATGCATTATATAGAGTACTAAGTCTATCTCTGTTCATTTTATAACTCATAATGGCTTGTCTGGGTTCTTTTTTTTTTCTTTTATACAAAAGGTTGTTTTTAATCTCAAAGTATTTTGCTTGGTTCTGGAGTTGCTTTCGTTGGTAAGTAGAAAAGTCTGTAGATATAGTTTCTGTATTTAAATAGTTATATAAATTATAATACTAATCTAAATTCATAGTATTATATTTTAATCAGATTCTCGATAAAGTATCAATATTTGAGTGAATTCTTCCAGATTTATATACAATTGTGAAATTATAAAGTTGGAATTTCAAAATCTATTGTCTGATTCATCCTTTAGGTTTAGCAGTTTTAAGCCATTTTAATGCTAAGTGGTCTGTTATGAGAGTAAATTTAGTAGTTTTCAAATAGCTATGAAAATGTTTTATAGCCTATACTATAGCAGCATATTCTAATTCTATTGCAAAATAATTCTGTTTGGCAGATTGAAGACTTTTATATATATAAGCAATAGGATGCTTCTTGCTATCTCTATCTTTTTGGCTAAAAGTAGCTTCAAATCCATGATATGAGGTATCTATAACAAGTATAAATCTTTTGCTAAAATCTAGATAGACTAATATAGGTGCTGTTATAAGTTTTTCTTTTAATATATCAAATACTTGTTGTTGTTTACTTCCTCAATAATAGGGTATATCTTTATACAATAGTTAATTTAATGGTTAAGCTACTGATGAAAAATTTTAAATAAATTGTTGATAATATCCAACAAGTCCAAGAAATGATCATAGTTTAGTAGTAGTAGTTAGAGGTTGGATCTTTTATACTATTTCTACTTTTGCTGGGTCTGGGGCTATCCCATTTTCACTAATGATATGTTTTAAGAAAGGTAAAGATTTTATCCAGAAATTACACTTTTCTATATTAAGTTTTAATTCTGCATCTTTAATATATCTAAATACTATTTTTAAATATTCTAAATATTTTTCAAATATTCTAAAAAATATATTAGTATTATCTAGATACATAACTACAAATTTTCAGACAATTTCTCTATAAACTTGGTCTATTAATTGTTGAAATATAGCAGGAGTATTGCAGAGTCTAAAAAGTATAATATTAAATTCATATGTCCTATACTTTGTAATAAATGTAGTCTTTTCCCTATCTTTTAGATTTATTTCAACTTGTCAATATCCACTAGCAAGATCAAAAGTTGAAAACTATTTTAATCCTGATAAAGTATTTAGCATTTCTTGGATTCAAGATAATGAATAGGTATTTTTCTTAGTAATTCTATTAAGTTTTCTATAATCACACAAAATCTTAATTTGTCATTTTTTTTTTGTACAAGAACAACAAGGAATGTCTATGGGCTTTTTGATGGTCTAATTATTTTACTTTCTAGCATTTTTCCTATTTCTTTTTTGATGAAATTCTGTTTATCTGAGGTATATTATAAGGTCAAAATTTTATTGGGGGTATATCTTCTATATAAATCCTATACTGTACTAAATTGATATATCCTAGTTCTGAAATATCTTTAGCAAATAGGTCTGCAAATTCTTCTAATAAGGCTATAAATTTCTTTTCTGTTTTTTAATATTAACTGTATCTGTCTTTTCTAATACATATTCCTCATATAGGATTAGAGTATCTATGGGTTATATTTAATTGCATTCTTTTGCAGAGCTAGCTAAAAGGCTTGTTCTTCTGTTAGTAAATCTTCTAAGACTTCAGATAGTTTTTTATCATGCCTAAAATAGTTTAAAAATTTTGTCAAAAGTATAGTTTAAAATAATATTTGGCTCATTCTTGGTGGTATAAGATTTGTTTCTTAAAGAAGTTTGTTAATTAATTATTCATCTCTTCTAGATATTGAACATGTGCTTCTAAGCATTCAATAATTTTTTGTTGGGTTTCTGGATCTGTTTCTTTTTTTTTTTTCTTTGTTTCTAGTTATTGATTCAATTTCTTCTTCATTTTTCATTGAAGTATCAGAAGTAGAGACTTCTGGTTTTATATTTTCTAAGAGTATTAACTTATTTAACTTCTGATAATACTCATTGCAAAGTTTTTAGTTTATATCTAACTTTTTAGTTTGTCTAGCATAAAAACACTCTAAGCAAAGTACTACTTTGTTTTCAAAGTTTTTATATAAATTTTCTAAGGCCTTGTAAGAATCAAAGTTAGGTTATGAAATATTAAATGATTCTTGCAAAATTCTTTGCAAAGTAGCTTCTTCTTTTCAGGTAAAGTTGCTTGTTGGTTTGTTTAAAGAAAAATATCAATTTCATTAGTAGTCCAATTATGATTATATTAGTTATTATCTTGTTTTATTAGTAATTCTGTTATTTGACTAGGATTTTCCTCTTCTAATAAAGCTTAAGCTAGTCTATAAATTTTACTTTGATTAAAATTATATTGGTATTCTGTATTCTGGCTAGATTCAGTATAATATCTAATTCTTGTCTAAATTTCATAGTTTTCATTATAAATTAGATTTTGGCATACTTTATATATATATATGTGCTTTAATTTACAAAACCAAAACTCTTCTCAAATGCTTTTTAATCAATACATTCTGGTTCTAGATTTCTGATAATTACAAACTTTACAATAGACAAGAGTTCCTCTTTCTAGTCCAGTTCAATAATATTCTTGACTATGTAAATTATTTAATTTTAATTCTTCATAGAATATTTTATAACAAACAGTACAGATTAGCTAGTTGTCTAAGAGATATAACTTGTCTGGTATCTGTGGAGTTAGGTATTGATAGCAGTGGTGAGTTTTATGTCTGCTATAATGATCAAGCCTTTTTGCTTCTATTTGAGTTCTATTACAACCACAACGATAAGTTAGATTATCTAATTTCTGTTGTGTTAAAAAACAATTAATTTTAATATGTTCTAATTGTTTACAATCAAAACACAAGTTCTGAGGGCAATTCTTGAATAGGTAGTCAGTTTGGTTGTAATTTTTACAATTGGCTTTTCTGTTTTGTTTGTTTGGGTAGTTAATAACAATATAGCCTATTTTGTAGCAATATTTGTATTTATTCCAAGGGCAATCTTTATACTAGTAGTCCCTAAGACTACAACTTTTACATTTTGGTAGACTTCTATATCGGGGTGTATAGGTAGTCCATCCTTCCTCTCCTTTATTTGTTATAGTAAAGGTATAGGCTTCTTGAGATATTAAATTTTCCTGTTCATATAGTTCAAAATTTTCTGAGGTAATGCAAGTAGGTTGCTTTTCTTTGGGCTTTTTTTGCTTATATAAAGTATTAATTATGAGCTTCTTTTTTTTTCAATACATAGTATATTAACAAGTTTTCTAATTATAGTTTGCTTCAACTTTTCTAGACTAGTTATTTTTCAAAAGTAATAAATATAAAGTAGCAGGTATTACTTTTACATTAATAAGGATAGTTCTACTTTGAATCTTGACAGATAAGTTTCTAATGATTCCAAGAGATCGAGAGGTAGTTCCTGTAGCAGCTACAATTAAACTTCTTGAAGGTTTATCTATTTTTAATCCTAGTTCTTTTGCAACTTTGTAAGCAATCATACTAACAAAAGCTCTGCTATTGATAATAGCAGAGTAAGTATCATTCTTTAAATCTACAAAATATTTAACAAGAGTGATATTGCTGTAGTTGGTTTAGTATTTTTTTAGTTTATTTTAGTAATATAGGTGGTGAGAGCTGTACAAATAGAGTAGTTGTCTAGAATTCTTTCCTAATTGTTGTTGAGTAGTATAGAGTTAGGATTAGGTTTCGATGTTTATGCAATGTTACATTCCAATAGTAGGGTGAAAGTGAGCAATGAGATCTGGGTCTCCATCTTTCTTGGCTTTTATCCCTAAATCTGCTTTTATTTTGAGAATAGTTTCTATCTTTGCTTCTACTTCTATATCTTTTATGTAATTAACTTCTATTTTTAGATTTTCTATGATCATTGAATCTATTATTAGTCAGAGAATATGTTATACTTGTTGATATATGAGTATTAGTTTATAATAAAAACTATAATAAAAATATACTGTATAAATTTATTATAAACTTTAAGCTCCACATTATTTTCAACTTACATATTAACTTAATTTCAAATTCTAGAATTAAGCAAATCAAAAATAGTAAATTAAAGTTATTTAGAATATTTTTTTAAAATTCTATTAAAATTGTATATTTTTTTTACCAAAATTTTATAAAAAGAAAAAATTGTCTAATTTTGTGAGTATAATTATGTGTAAAATTTTATGCTGAACAAGTTTACCTAGAAAATAAAATAAGTTACCATAGTAAAAAAATAAGTTAGCTATAGACTAATGTTAAAATTTTTAGTTTATTTATATGTAATATTTTCGTTTACTAAGACAATTAATTTTTGTCTTCTAAGTAAACTTGTTTAGCACGTATGTTTACATATACATATTTGTTAAAATGCACTTTTTCGAACATTTTACTAAGTGAAAAATTGAATTAATTTCATGTAAAAAAAAATTTTTTTAGTAAAAATTTTTTTACATGAAGTTAATTTAAATTTTCACTTAGTAAAATATTCAAAAAAACATATTTTAACAAATATGTGCATATAAACATATGTGCTGAACAAGTTTACTTAGAAGACAAAGATTTATTGTCTTAGTAAACAAAAATGTTACACATAGATAAACTAAAAATTTTAATATTAGTCTATAGCTAACTTATTTTTTTACTAAGATAACTTATTTTTGTCTTTTAGGTAAACTTGTTCAGCGTAAAATTTTATACATAATTATACTCACAAAATTAGGCAATTTTTTTTTTTTATAAAATTTCATTAAGAAAATATACAATTTTTATGGAATTTTAAAAAAGTATTCTAAATAATCTTAATCTACTATTTTCAATTTGTTTAACTCTAGAATTTGAAATTAGGTTAATATGTAAGTTGAAAATAATGTGGAGCTTAAAGTTTATAGTACACGTAAATTTATATATTTTTATTATAGTTTTTATTATAATTTGTACTCTGCGTAACATGTCCTCTAACTGTTATTATAATTGTTTCTTTGATTATAGTTGCTATTTCTATTTCTTTTATTGTTTTTATTTTCTTCTGATTTTCTTTGATAACAGTTAGCTATATAATATCTCTTTTTACCACAATAGTGACAATTAAAATTGTTCTTGAATAAGCTCTGTTTTATTTTTGCAATATAAGCTAGTTTTTGTTGTTGTTGTTGGGCAAGATTAATACTCAATTAAGCAATTTGATTTGTAAGTTTGGCAATTGCTTCTTTGGTGTCTGTTTCTGAAGCAGTAATGTGTTTTTCTGTTTTCTAATCTCTGGCAGCATTTATA